AGCTTTAGTGCTTGTGATGATGAACATGATGGTTTCAGCCGGCAGGTCGTTGGCAGGGGGAGGCGTGGCTAGTAGTAGTAGTAGTAGTAGTAGTAGTAGGAGGAGGAGGAGGAGGAGTAGTAGTAGTAGTGGTAGTGGTAGTGGTAGTGGTAGTGGGAGTGGAAGTGGTAGTGGTCGTCGTCGTCGTCGTCGTCGTCGTGGTGGTGGTGGTGGTGGTGGTGGTGGTGGTGGTGGTAATGGTTGTTGTTGTTGTTGTTGTTGCTGCTGCTCTTGTTATTGTTATTGTTCTCACTCTCGTTGATCTGATTAATGTCTTGATCCTTGTTCTTGACGTTGTTGGCATTGTTGTTGATGTTGGCGGTGCCAGTCGTTGTTGTTGTTGTTGCTGGATGTCATAATCGCACTGCGTTTGTGCGATTCGGACCTCGTCCATGGAGGCTCTACCAGCGGTCGCCAGGGCTCCGAATCCGAGATCGCTACACGTGTCTAATGTCAAAGGGTGCAGGACTGCGTATAAAAAGGGTCGTGCTTTTGTCTCAAAGAGTTCTGTCGTCCTCATTCTGACTTGGTTTTTGCAAGGGCATGGCTCTCCTCAGGTGCACTAGCTGTCAATGCTTGAGCCGATGCCGGCATGGAACTGAACACAAAGATGACCGCTGCCTGAAGTAGAATCACAGGAATCTCCTGGTCGATCTCCACGCCATCACGCTCCCGGTTTACCTGCGCCACCAGAGCCTCCACACACTTCGCCTCCGGGACCACAGAGGAACAAGAAGGCTCTACACTCTCGGCCAAGGACTGAGTCCTTGAGCTTGGAGAAGACGTGCTCCTAGATGGTGACCGAGTCAGCAGAAGGAGAAGGTCGGGTCTTACTGCAAAACACCTCTTGCTGCCCAGGATCTGAAAAAGCCTGCGCCGCAGCCTTGAAAAGATCAGGGTACTCCTCAGGCCGGCGGGAGCACCCGAGGAGAGTCGAAAAACCTCGTCTTCTACGGAGGCGTCCGTACTGCTCTTCGTGAAGAAGCGATCCAGATACCTCGACAGGTTGCGGCAGCTAATCAGCAAGCAGACTGCAAGCAGCTGCTGAGCCCTTGGCTGGAAGACACGCTGCATCCAGAAGACTAGGATCGTGTTCTTCTCCTTTCCCCCAACACGGAAGCTTCCCCAACACGCGCTCTCCTACCCCATGACGCTCCCACAGCTGCGCCAGCGCGTGCAGCAGGTCCTTCGCCAGGGCTAGACTCTAGACACCACTGAGCTGCGGAACCTTTGCCAAAGGCCTTTGCCAATGACCTAAGGTTACGAGCGAGACTTTTGCAAGTTCAGCCCGCCCTCACATGCTCTTACCATCAGAAGTGGAAGGCTAACCCTAGGCCCTACGGAGTGAACACATCTCTCAGCCGAATTTCAGAGGTAGCAGGGTGCCCCGGCTTCCCCCACCTCCTACACAGCGGCTCTCGGCTAACCCAGCCTCGCCGGCCAGCTTCTGAAGCTCCATCATGCCGTTCTTGCAATAATCCGAAATCACCTGCAAAGAGCAATCGTCAGAAGTCACAGAGTCACCAAGGCCTCCGCGATCGCGATGAGCTTCCCTGGCCTTCTTGTAATAAGAATAAAGCTTGAAGGAGTGCTGCTGCTGGTCGCCAAACTGTACAACGACCGAGTACGCCTCTTCGTGCAGGGAAAAGTTCTGTTGGTGGAAACATTCATCACGACACACCTTCATGCTACACTTGTCCTCTTTCTTCCCTCGGCGCGTATCTCAAGAAGAAGTGCCGGTGCTGCCGCATAGAAGCTGTCTCTTGCGCTGCACATCAATCACTACTGTTTCAGAGCAGCCGGTCAAGCATAGGCATGGACATGGAATAGACCGGATGTCTGCGCCAGAAGTCGTGAAAAGGCCTCTCAATCTATCGGCCGCACTGAAAACCTACGGCCAGTCGGGATGTGGCCGTGGAAGCAGCGTGTCACTGGCTCCTGACGCGCCATCAATGCTGTTTCGGGTATGAAAGGAAAATGACCCGCTCACTGTGACCATCGAGTCTGTCTCCGAAGTCCGAGCTTCAATGGCCGCATGGCAAGAAGTCAACTCGGAGCCATGATGCCGCATTTGCCGCGAACCTGCTAGGATCGCCGCAGCGTGTCTGCAATCTACATCAAGGCCCATGCTCGGACACCCAGCAGCCCGAGCAGTGGCAACATCTGTTGGAGACTAGCAGGTTCCGAGAAAACAGCGTCATGCGACGCGACCGCTGCAGCAAGCAGCGAGAGTTACAAGTAGACGGTCTCCCGGCATCAGCGCTTTGCGAACTCAAGCAAACTCAAAACGTTGAGATGTTGCACGCCTTTCTTCATGCTGCTTCTTTCTCCTTCAACACGTGGGGTACGGTCTGCAAGAAGTCGCCATCGGCAGCTTGTGGATCATGGCACGCTGCCGCCTGCCCAACTTTACGTGAGGCACGCATTGCGATTGCGAATACTCTAAAGAAGTGTAAGCATGGGATTACCCAGCACCGCCTGTTGACCTGGCTTATCCTGGCTTCTATATTCGGATCTATGCAAAACCCCGGCCTCAGGCACGGGAAGAGGCAGTAGCTACAGGTGCACACAGCATGCCATGGGGTGCCCCAAACTGCGAACGCTTACCTGTGTCGATCCGTTTGAGTCATCGTGAAGGAGCGGCCTTCCAGTAACAGGCTCATGTCATCTGTGGCTTTCAAGCAGCCTCTGCTGACGGCGACCGGGAGGCCATGCCCCGCTGCGCCGAACAACGGTAGTCCCCACCAGGCCCGCAACGGCATGAAGGCTGTGGCACCAGCGCTCGCAGCTCAGGGCCGAAACGGCTTCAGCTCAAGAAGCTCGAACTTGCTTCACCGATCGCTACATGCAGACCGACAGGGGCTGCAGCCTTCATAAATGTCATGTTAGTCTTGTTCTCGAAGGTGCCGGTCCTCCATTTGAGGGACAGACCGTGCATCACATTGTGGGCATTCACGGTGGCCTTAAGTAGGTCAGCAAGGGCTGCACCCGCTCCTCGGGATCAACGCCAACCCACTGAAGGCTTCTTGTGGTCTTCTGGCCTTCTCGATCAACTCCAGCCCTTGCTCCACGGTCATCGTCCTGAAGGCAGGCATTTTGTGACACTGGGACGAGCTGAAAAACCGCACTGAGCTCAGGACTCCAAATTGAGCTCAATCGCGTCGCCTTTGGCGACCTTCCGAAGTCGAAACGGGCAAGCTGTGAGCTATCACTGCTTGAACTGCAGGGCTTCCATCAGCCACTGTCTGAGACTGGCACGGGCTTGGTGGACATGCTGGAGCTGGCGGCAGTCGGCCAGAATCGGAACGTCCTGAGCACAACACCCAAACACGAAAGGTGAGTACGGCTTGACTTACCGGGCTCAACTGTCAACGGTCCTCTGCCTGCGGAGGTTCTGCTCCCTTGCGCCATCTACCCTGAAGCCTTTGGCCCATTGGGGGCCCTTGCAGGACCCTGAGAGAAAGGAGGCGGATCGAGCAGGGAATATGTTCTTCACCAACCGAATTGGCCAGTGAGATTGAGACCAAAGGCACTCGCAGAAACTTTTCGCCTACACGCCCGATACGTCGCTCTGCCTCTCCTTACTGGCATGCTCGTAGCCTTCCCGCAGCTGCTCACCTGGCACTCAAGGACAGGACCAGGAAGCTCTGTGCCAAGCCGGGGACTGGGGCGCGGGCCGGTGGAGGAACTCTTCCTTCGCGGAGTCGCCCTCGAGGCTTCTCCCACCGCTTTGACCCCTCGGAGTGTCTCCTGGTCTGGTCACAGCTGTCACCGTGATGCATCCCTTCATACGTGTATTTTCATTCTAGACAGGGACTCACAGAGGGCGGAAGGTGCCGCTAGAGACGACGGCCTCCGCGCTTCGGGACCGAAGCCGGGTGGTGGCCTTTCGCTGCCGCGCTGGCTCCGGGTAGCGGTGTGGGACCTCGGGCATGGCGACACCTTTCTGCGGCTTTGACGCAGCCGTGGCCTCTAATGACTCTAATGGCCGGCAAGCCACGAAGGGCAAGGGCACAACGCAGGCGGCCACCAGTCTCCGATAGCCGGAGCGCAGGTCACCCGCCCGCAGCCAGTGCTTGATGGCCTTCCTGGCGAAAAGCAAACTTCCTCGCTTTCCGGGAGCCAAGGCCAAAGACAAAGGACCTCCGCATCTTTTTCACTGGCAGGTTGTACGGCACCGTGAGCAGCACATGCTTGTTGGCCTTTGCATACTCCGGTCGTATGTAGGCCTCAAAGGCACAGCATTAGAGAATTTGGGATCGCATCGTCCTGCTTCATTCCAAGCACGAGCCTGCGCTACGCGACACCGGAGATGCGGGCTCCAGGCCGTCGAGGTGACCACGCCTGTCCCGAAGAATGCAACCACCCCTTGCAGAGATCTCTGTCACCGCATCAACAGCCCAGCCTGGCCCGCACCCTCACCACCACCATGATCATCATCAGCAGCGTCGTCATCACCGTCATCGTCACGGTCACCCTCATCTTCGTCCCTACTCTCCTGTGGAGTCAAGATGACCCCACCTATTGGCTGCCGGTGGGGATTGGAGAGCAGTCGGCAGCCACTGTGCCCGGGGCCGTCCAGCAGCAGGCCCACCCGCCGAAACTTCGGACCCTGACAGCCAAAGCATGAAGAAGTTTGCTCTAAGACACACAACAACGCTTCTTGTTCAGAGCGACGAAGATGATGGCGATGATGGTATCTACAAGCGGCCCGTCGCCTTCGCCAGCTGGAAGAAAAGCTTCTGCCAGCCGAACCTCTGCAGCAATCAGACTGTGAATCGGGAGCTCAGAATCGTGCGATCTCCGAGATTGTGGCATCAGGTGGCTCCGCATCTTCCCCTGGTCCAAGGTCCAGGACAGCGCGGCGCGCACGGGACTGTGGAGTCCCGATGCGACGTCTGTGCCGATGCGTGGGAGCCCCGCCTCGTTTGTGGGACTCGTCCCCCCCGTCACTTTAGTGTTTTGAGAAAGGAATCCGTGACCATTCGCTGCCATTTGTAAATATAGCTTGTGGTTTTTTTGTAAACAAGCGTCTCGGCAACACAAATCCTTTCCAGTCCTTTACCGGCCTCCATGCGAAGGATGTCCAAGCAGTAGACCCCGGCCGGTCTGACCAGTGGGGTCTGCAGCAGCGCCGCGGCCACTTCGTGTAAGAAAGGGGAAGGTCCCAAGATCTCGAAGCCGTCCTCTCCTGTCATACCGACCCGCAGCACCGTGGCCTCAGCCTTCACCCCAGACTTGCCCAAGGAGAGCGCGCTCATGTAGGGCATGGCCTCCAGGACTTCCGGTGCCAAGGCGACCTTGCGAAACAACATAACGAAACATACCGAAAAAATGCTGGGTAAGGCAAGGTCCGAACTCTGGCTCAGGATGATCGACACACAAAAAAGGGTCTTCGCTGTTTGGGGTCTTAAGTTCCGTTCGCCTGCTCGCTGAACGTTGAGAGCTCCAAGCCATCGGAGAGCACCAGCATCAATGCCTTCTTCCCAAAGCAACACAGGCATCTAGATGTACGTCCATGTATGTACTGATGACGGTCTTAATCAAACCGACAATCATGAAGAAGAAGGTGATGATGATGCACATGTTAATGTAGAGGTAGTATTAGTGATAGCGGTAAATAGTAATAGTCGTCGTCGTCGTCCTCGGCATCGTCGTCGTCGTAGCAACAGCAACAGCAGCAGCAGCAACAACTACAACAGCAATTCAACAGAAGCAATAGCAGCAACAGCAGCAGCAACAACAACACAGTAATCAGGCCAGCAGCACCTCAAACGTTAACATAGATTGTGTGAGGGCATCTTTCCAAGAGTGACTTCAATGATCTAACTTTCCGCATGTACGCTCCCTCAGCAAAGTTCTCTTGTGCCGTCAGTGTCCTCCTGAGCTTTCGGGCCCTGCAGAGAGAGGACGGCGCCCGTATGGCTCACGAAAGAAACGTCGGCACCAGAGCGCCGCACGTAGATCAGATACCTCATTGGCAAGCTTGCGTTTGCCTCTCAGCATCAGACACTGAATACATGATCCTTTTCCCACACTCTGGCAGCCTGCTTAGAGCCCGAAGTGCGGAGGAGCGTCTGGCCAAGATACTCCAGCAGCTGCTTGGCATGCCAACCAGAAGCTAAGATGTTGACTGAAGCCTCGTGAAGAAAAACGAAGGCGTCATCCAGGACTAGGCCTTTGCTGTCCAGGATGCATGCATATTGCACGTCACCGACTCGCATCGCTCGGAGGCTGCAGGTTAGAAACTGATCCGCGACGAACTCTCGGTCCATGCCCATGATCTGCAGGCAGACCTTAAAAGAGACGTCGAAGAGGGATGCCGACTGCCGTGTGTGGTGATACGCCTCCAGAGTGGCCCCGGTGGCTGCTCCCTCTCCGTGCGGATCTTGTGGAAAGACGCTGGGAACCACACACTGGTTGTATTCTACCCAGGAGGCTCCGAATTGGCTCCAAAGGTTTCCGAGCTCGCAGTCGCGCACTGGCTCCATGGTCTCCATGGGAGCCCCCTGCTCCGGCTCCGGAGGCGACGGATCTTGGGCTCTGGCCCTAGCCCTGGCTTTCCTTGCAGAAAGCCGCCCTTTCAAGCGACCGCTCTGCCGCGGGGCCTCTGTGGGGTCCTCTGCCTCGGAGCCCGACTCCGTTTCCGACTCGGAGTCTTCGGACCAGGCCAAGGAGTGCGAGCCTGCGCCTGCCTCTGTGCTCGGGCCACTCGGGCCACTCGTACTGGGACTCCCAAGGAAACGGCCCCGCCTCCGTCTCTGCCTTCTTTCCAAGGACTCGTGAAGAAAGGACGGCAAAGCCGCCTCTGGAGGGGCCTGCAAGGGCGGCGATGCCACCGTCGCCTCGTGCACAGGGTTTGGCTTGGGAGTCTTGACAAGCTCCTTGATGTGGGGCAGCCGAAAATCATCCGCGCGTGGCATTGCCACCGTCAGCGCGTCCATCTCGGAGAGGTGCTGATCAAGGAGTTCCTGCACCTTCGTCTGTGACGTCTGGGCCTCCTGCACCTTCGCCACGAAGCTCTCATCGATGGAGGCCGCCCGCTCCGCCCACCATGCACGCTGTGCCGAGTTGGTGCCATCCAGCTTGGCGACGCCCCTGCAGATGGCAGATCTGCAACAGGAACGTTCGGAGGGCTCTTGGCTAAGCGACTACCGAACACGGCAAAGACCCGGGGAGCTAGACATGATGTGTGGGGCTATAGTCGTAGTCCTCAGATACACTCACCAATAATGCTCACCAATATTGAACCACATCATTGACGGCACTATTGTGGTCGGTGCAGCGGATGCCGGTTGCGGGATCGTTGTTCGAGCTTTCTCCGGAGTGGATCATACACAAGACGCCGACAAGAACTGTTTCCGAAACTGAACACCCCTCCTTTAACGACTTCAGTCTTACTCTCTTCCTTCCAAAAAGTCTAGTATGGTCTGGAATGCTGGTAGCCCATGTGCTTCCAACGCGCATGCACCACTGAACAGCAAACCTTCAGAGAGCATCTTACGAACACCAAAGTTATCCTGCACTGGAATATTAATTTTCACGATATCCGGGTTTGTCCATGGACCAAGAAGAAGGACAAAAGAAGTGTGAAACGGGTGCTTTGCTCCTGGAAGAACGGAGTGCATGCACGGCCGTGTGCAGATTTGGTAACAAGTCCTGGTTTCATGCACCGAGAGATTTCCGAGGCTGCCCTCCGCAACAGGCCTGAGCTTTGCACCAACCCAAGACTCCTAAACCCTAATTGACCCTGGCCCCTGGTCTGTAATTTGCACGCTGAACCCTGCACCTCAAACCCTATACCATACACCATTGTAATCCTCAGCAGTGTGGGATGCAATACTGCAAGGGCACATGAATGCTTGTGGTATTTAGAATGCACCGACACCACGTGCGCGCACAAAGCACGCCACGCAGACAGCGCGAAAAGCAGGGGTTTCGTAGGACGAAAGACCTATGCGGCTGATTCGGGACCACGAGAGTACTGCAGCACAGGCCGCACAGGATTTTCTGCACGTCTGCAAAGCAGAGTTCGTCGGAAGTAACAGTTGGACTTTGCAGCGGTCCTTGGATGCTCTCTTCCCCGAACAGATTAGACCATGGGCGTCATCGTGGTTGGGCCATGGATGCCCTCTTCTCAGATCGGATTCGACCGTGGACATCATCATGGTTGGGCGATGGATGTTCTCTTCTCAGGACGGATAAGAGAACGGACGTCATGGTTGGGTCATGAACGCCCTCTTCTCAGAACTGTTTGAACCATGGACTTTAGCATGGCTGGAGCATGGATGCTCTCGTCTGAGGACGGTTTCATGCAACGTTACCCAGATCTTGGTCAACAGCAATATGGACGAGACTTTGCTGAATATAAGACCAAGTTCTCGTCATGGCCTGGCGAGCAAAAGATTACCCATATCCCAAGACATGAGCCCCCAAAAAATTAAACAAGATCTTGGCCGATGTTTGCCAACATCGTGGTCACTTTGGTTTAACCAGGGTCTTGGTTGAACTTAACCAAGGCCGTTGCGACCTGGATCAAGAACGTGTGATTGTGTTTTGTTTTGATCAACCAAGTGTGATCTTGTTGCTTTTCCAAGACCTAGGTGTGATGTTGAATTTCTTGTGCACCACAAACAGCTTGGTTAAACTTGACCAAGAAAAAACAACCACAAAGTTGGCCAAAACAAAATTCGACACTCATCGACGGCCCTACCCGGCCCTTTCAGGTTTGTCCAAAACCCAGGAAGGCTGAACGAGTCTAGGGGCCGACGGCCAAGTCACACAATTGGGTCTCAGGGCATGGGTTGGGCAGGTTCTGTTAATGTTTGCGAAATTGCTATTCTTGAAACCCCAGCTTTCTTGTCCAAGTTGCCCGACAGCCTTCGTGTCACACTTCTGTACTCTGAGAGTAAACCCTCCTTGCTGACAGTTCATTCACACTTCCTTTCCCCGACAAAGCAGAAGCTTGCGAAAGTTAAGACACCGAAATCCAGCCCTTCCGAGGCGCCTCTGTGGACTTTGCATCCAGCCACCCCTTCGGCCCCTTCTTGGGAGCCTATTCGGCTCCAGGGTCGATGCCCGAGGATAAGCCTGATAAACGGAGCTGGAGCTTCGGACTTCGGACGTAGGCTTGGGACTAAGAGATGCCATGCTGTTGGCTTTGCCTTCCGACTAGCCACAAGACTTGAAAGTCAAAAAGTCCGAAACCACTCGAGTCGATTCGGGTGTTTACAAGAAACAGGATGGAGATATCTGACGGTTCCATTGCTTGGGAAGTATATCAGAGGCTTGAAGCAAGGATTTGAGGAAGAGACGGTCCTAGACAGCGTAGAATGAATCCGGGCACCGGCAATGCTACAGTCTTTGTCATTCCGGCTGCAATAGCTTGCCAACTCTGCAAGTCCGCTGTAAGTGCTAGGATAGTTGTCGTCGTCCGTGCATCATGATGTCACAGCAGCAAGAGGCAGTGGCAGAAACAGATGTGGTTGTAGCCGCTGTGTTTACATTCGAGTTTAGTGGCCTTCTCCTCGAAGTCCCGGCGTCGTTGAGTCATCTGAGCTCAGACTCAGAGCGGCTGGAGAGCTGCTAAGGGGGCTACAGCTACAGTGCTATTGCTACAACCCCACGAACTGCACCTTGGCATTGACGTAGCATCGAACGCGCACCCTTCTGGCCCATTGCGCACAACCCAACAGCATGGGAATCGCAGGATCCTTCTGTTGGAAGTAATAGCTGCAGTGTTATCAAGTGGGCGGAGACCGTCTGCTGGAGCCTCTAGCCCCCTGGAAAACTCCTGCTTCCCTCATGGCTTTCCAACACATATAAGTTACTTTAAGTCGAACCCGCCCTTAGGGGATTTCACACGCGCCATTAGACACGACTGTCGTAGAAAGCATGTCCGGGTCTTCTTGGCAGGTCAGCATCATTGGACGTCTCTGTTCCGTTCTATTCGTGTTGCGCTGGAGGCTTGCGGCCGCGTCCATGCTACACCAAACAATCATGCACAGACGCAGAACAAAGGGATCAAAACTCGGGATGGCTGTCCATTGCAACTCTGTGCTGCTTGCTTTTCTTCGATCTTGCGACGCTGATGGCGGCCAGTTCTCCCCTAGCCCGGCCGGGTTTGGCAGGTGCGGAAGGCTGGCATTGGTCGCCGGAGCCGCAGAAAGGCGTGGAGGCGGCTGAGATGGTCCTGGGAAGTGCTTGGCATCTTCTTTGGAGGCTTCGTCGAAGTATGCCGGCGTAGATCCCCAAACAGAGAATGACCAAGACGACCATGACCACAAGGACTACAAGGATCACCCTGAACATAGGAGTCCACCTCATAGAGTGGACCTGCTAGGACTGTTAGACAGACCCCGCGCGCGCGCGCACACACAAACATCTAAATGAAAGGGCCGCGGTGGCATTCCCCTTTGTGCTTACACGAGGTCTGCAGCTGGGTCCTGGCGGAAGGACATACGGAAAGTGCTCAGTATGAAGGATTAAAAAGCTTGCTTCGTAATGGATGCAGGAACCAGCATTATTGTCGACTCGAACGCGCTAAGGGAAGAAGCCTGAAGCAGAGGAAACTGCTACCCCACTCCGCATAAGCTTCGAAATCGAAAGCTCCTCGGCCCCTGAGGTCCTGGCCCCAAAATGCCTTAGTCAAAGAAGTCGGAGATCTTCACTTCCGACTTCACCTGGCTACCTTTGCGGGAGTGTTCACGACAGCAGTTCTGGCTGTTGGGCACCGGCCGCCACAGGCCTTCGGCTCCTCGCATCCACTTGAGCGGTGGCGGGATGTACCTCGTGCCTGAGCCAAGCTGAGCCAAGCGGGCCATGTCGGAAATCGGGTGAGCCCCCGGCCGTCCGGATTAAGGTGGGCATAGAAACAGCTGGTGCCAAATGGACAGTGGCCTTCCCAGAAGCTTCAACAAACCATGCACTTCCGCTCAGCTCTCTTTGCTCCTCGGCCGTAGTCAAAGAGTTTGCATGGGATGCGGCCCATCTCCTGCGCCGAAACTCACAGCTACCACAGCCAGAATGCAAACAGGTAACAAGGCTGCACCGAAGCGACGCCGCTTCGCCTGTTTGTAGGAGTCGATGATCCCTCCTAAGCGCGACTGCAAAGAATTTGAGCACATCGACCAAAGCCTGGCGGTGAACGCCCGAAACTGACTAAGGCGGCTGGCGTTTTTCCTCGGGGTCCAAGATGATGTGGTCCGTGGGAATCACGTAGAAGGACTCCTCAGGTATCGGAATGACTCCCCCAAATCAGGGATTGGTGCGGAATCTCTGAAACTGCGCTAAGAGACATTGCGGCAAACCGGACAAAGCCGCAGGTTCTGCTTATCCTGCGCTCAGCATGCTCATGTCGAAGAGCTAGAAGCAATGGCGACGGCAACTGACTTCATTACATTCGAGCGCCACACCTGCTGCTCCCGCTCGCGCCGCCAACCGCGAATACAGCTGAGGCAAAATGCGTGGTCGCAGCCTTGGACACAAACCCCTCTTTCTGAAATACTGCAATGCAGCGCATGTGGTCGTGCTCGGCCAAATGATGCTCACAGTAGTCAGTACTGCACACGGTGGCACACGGAACTAAATGTTGCCTGAGGTTATCAAGGTCCGTTGGCAAACTTTTGTGTCTTGTGGTTTTATCTCTCTCTCTCTCAGTCTCTTGCTTGCTTGCGGTTCCGGAGGAACGCGTGAAACGGGGCTCCCCGGGCCGCTTTGCAACGTGAAGCTTTTCGAGCAACAGGCTGAGTTGCACAAGCTGAGTTCGCACACGCTTACGGCTTCAGACACCCTACCGCTCTACACAAAACCTCACGCCCCGCCTTTGTCGAGCTCACCCCCAACATCCTATTGTGCACTCAGTGTCTTCCTGCCCCCCCTAACCTCAACCGCTGCTGGTCTACTCGGCGCAGGATGTTGCATGCCACACAATTCCCCAACAGCCACACAAGCAAAGCTCTTGAAAATGTCGAGTTGGGGTCGAACGCTGCATGCATACGTCTCCTGTGTCTCCTTCGGTGAGTGCCGCCTAAGCTCACGACTCCACTGGCTTCAGCTGTCGATGCGGACGAAGCGGAGAATGCTTTCCCGGCGTGGGTCCAACCAGCGGTTGAGACCTTTGCTTCCTGGGCCGTCTCGGTGTCCCTGGTCTTGTTAGGCATCGTCGCGCATGCCAACGAGGTGGCGGGCTGGCTCGACCAGCCCTTCCAGCTCTAGCCAAAAGTGCTCTGTTGGTTCCAACTGCGATCGCACCGAATTAATTGATCTCTTGCTCTGCCACAATTACACCGCTCGTTGGAATCCACGGAGACCCTTCCGTAAGTGGCTCCCGCAGTTGTAGGTTGCCTCTGCCGAGACTTGCTTAGGGGTAGAGCACGTGGTCCAGCCCATGGATGATGACCCCGCCCACGATGGAAGGCTGAGCATCTTACGGATGGCTTCGATGTCGGGTCTGCCCCTTTTTTTTCCGGGGCCATCGGTAGTCTGCTTAGCTTGCTCACTGCCAGGGGAGTCGTTTGCAGAATCCCTGGAGCGCCGCGGCTGCTGCTTCGGCCCTTGGTGCTGCTGTTTGTTGATTTGCTTCCATGCTTGCACGATCCCTGCATGCGACAACTCGGCAGGCCAGGTCGTCGAGTCTGCGAGGTTCCATGGTGGCTTTGTAAGGTGAGTGGGGATGCGGCAGTCTTGGAGCGGCAGGACGATTCAGTGTCTGTGTGTCTGCCTGACCGTGTCCGTGTCTGTGTCTGTCTGTGTGTGTGTGTGTGTGCGTGCGCCTGTGCTTGTGCTTGTGTTTGTGCCTGTGCGCGTGCTTTTTTTGAGTATGTGTGTCGCTGTCCTCTCTTTCTACCAGGACAGAGGGGAAAGACGGACGTCCCCCCTCGCGCGGGGACGCGCACCTGCGGGGCGCTGCAGGGTTTTGAACCTCCACGGGGGGGCTTCGCCCCAGTGGCTCGGCTTTACATAGGAAGGCCGAGGCATGAAAAGAAGAAGACCTGATCCCCCCGGGGCGCTCAAAACATGAAAACGAGCAGTACTTAACCCTCCCCCTATGCCGGCCTTCTTCTGGGAGCAGGAATGGGGGAACGTCCCCACCTACATGTGCAGCTTCTCCTCCACCGTTGGGTTGACGCCCCACTATACTCACAAGCTTGTCTGCCTTGCGTCCCTCCTCCGCTCAAGCTCTTGACATTGCAAGTACCGTTGGTAGTCTCTCTCGTCTATGGCTTCCAAAGCTCTCCCCGTGTTGGCATCCTTGAGGAATCCTCTCTGGACCGGCACCACGCGCCGGTTGGTCCAGTAGTCCAACGGGACTGGTTCATATTGCAACACCAAACCCCCCCTTCAGTTTCGTGGTGGGTGTACTCTGCCAGGGGTCTTGTCGTCTTCCCCCAGCCCTTACCATGTTGCATTGCCTCCGGGTTGTGCTGCAAGTTGAGCGGGTTCTCCTCTGGGTCGGCATTCCCCCGCATGGTGCTGGTGCTTGCCGTGGAAGTGACTGCCCCCGCGGCAAGCATCGTCTTGTAGCATGCCGCCAGCGTGGCCCTTGTGCCAGAAACGTCCTGTCAAGCATGCTTTGCAAGTCACCCGCAGCTTCTTGAGTTTCTCCGCGAGGGCGTCTTGCTCCTCTCGCGTCACGGGTTTACAAGCTGCTCGTGTCCAGGTTGTCCTCCGTGTCTTCCTTCCCCGGTCTGGGGTGCTCTCTCTGTCTCTCTGCTGGTCATCGGCGAGGTCGTGGTACTCCCTCGTAGTGCTGCTGGATCACCGAGAGTTCCACAAAAAAGGTAGTATGCTCTCTCCCCCTACAACTTACACGTGCACGTTTAGCAAGCGCTCATACTGTTTGTCCTGGCTGCTGCTACATACCGAGTTATGAAACCTAACCAGTTTGCAACATGTAAAATACTGCTTGTCCCCACACAGACTTAACATCAGCCTCGTCTGGCGCATGTTTTGCGGACCTTGCTGCTAAATGCCCTGCAACATGTATGTTTATGTTCCTGTTAACACCTGCTGGGTGCTGGGGCCCTGCAGATCATGCCAGGAAATTCGGAAACCCCCGCCGCACTCACACACAAACTGGCTGGACTCGGCAGGCGCCGCACGAAGAGAGATGGAGGAGACTGCACCCGGGCGGCTGCAGCCGCATCTCTGCCCCAAGGGGTCACGCAAGCAACGCCCCAGTCATCCAGGAAGGGAGTGCAGCATGCACGTGCTGCAAACCTCTCTGAGACAGGGAGCTCAGAATAGCCCACGCGTTCCCCCCATGAAGACCGACGCTTAGGCATTGAAGGCTGCAAGCTGTCTCCAGGGCTTGATCGCCTGGCCTCGCAACCCTATCCGCACTTCCTTGACAGCGCGGAAATCCAGGGAGAGATAACATTACCCACAGGTCTGTATGTATGTATGTATGCATGTATGTATGCATGTATCAAGCATGCATAATACATACAATATACAACATACATACATACATACATACATACATACATACATACATACATACATACATACATACATACATATATATATATATATCATATCATATACATATGTATTGTATTTAAGCTGCAAGCCGAGACTGCGTTCAACATGACTTCAGACATTCAATTCGATCTCCGGCTCTGACAATGCCCCGGGGCCACGGCTTTCTAGCATTCCAAAACGTTCACCCCTCTTCACGATCTCGGTGTATCGAAGCTGCAGGATGATTGCACTTTCCAAGATCGAGTTTCGCCTGTTCTCTTGTCGGGACACAGAAACTCAAGGGCTCGGCATTCTCGAAGCAAATGCCGCATTCGGTAAACTCTTCCACTGGCCTTTCAGGACAAAATCGGAGGAGCTGAGACCCCACGGCTCTCACTGCTCGAGAGCACCTCGGGCGGGGCCGCTCCACTCGAGCTGTGGCCGCCTCCGGACGCGGGCCCGGGGGGCCCGGGGGGCCCGGGCCCGGGCCACGGCTCTGGCCGTTCGCCACTGCCGGAAGCGCCGGCTCCGGCATCGTGTGGAGGTTGCGGCAGGCATCACCTCGGAGCACCGCTCTCACAGGGACTGGGGCCGTCTGATGTTGTCAACGGCTTTGCCTGTGTTAAGGGGAGAGCCAAAGGCACATCGCCCCTGCAGAAAGTGGCGGCAGATTGTGGCGCCTGCGGCGTGGCCAAGCACAGGGGGGAAGTGTACGCTAGCATGCCAGCTATACAAGCGACCTCTCCCATCACAGGTCCCCCCTGTCCACCCAGTGCCTGCTGCATGAGCCTGCAGAGCTCGGGCAGAATCGGGCTTTTCAGGCAGTGAAAGGCTGAAACATTTGAAGAGAGATGCACAATGACCGCAATGTCACAGTCCCACGTCCAGTGTCTCAAGAGCTGCCCACGGCTGCCCCCTCAGGCCCTCCTGTCCTGGCCATTGGTTCCATTCGCGGAGGCCTTCGCGCCACCCCTCGGAGGAAGAGCCGCGAGCCCAAAACCCTCCGAGGCTCGCTCGCTCCAGGCGCGGCACGGAAAACCCTTTTTGTCGCTGTCCTGGTGATCATTCAATTGTGTATAGCAAATAAACGAACGGATGATCCTCCAGAGAAAACAGCAGTCGAGATGATGTTGAAATTCGCAAACAAGCGAGAATCAGAAAAACTATCCACTCTGCAGCGCGGACCTTGTAGCCTCCGTTGGTGATGTTACTGCCGTTGGTGCCATTCGGGTCGCCATGCCACATGTTGCAAGCATTGCCGAAAGCGCAGCGTCCCTGTGGCGGCTTGAAGCGTTCGGCACATGCGCACATGTCGAACGCAAGTCAAATTTCCAGGAGAGCCAAAGAAAGGGAAGAGAGAGAGTGAAATTCTCCAAGTCTCTGCCTGTGCATAGAACTTGCACAGCTGCGGCATGTGGCGCCTGGCGCCTCCGGTAACACACTCGCTTGAAAAGCTTCAAAGCCTGCGCCCCTCCCGTCTCCCTCCCGGTCCTTAAGAGGTGCAGCAGCCAACTCCGGTTTCCGGCCGTTCTTGGCAAGAGGGGTAGAGGACTGTCACTGTACTTAACATAGGGCTCTCTTCGAGTGTGCAGTCACTAATGTCTGCACCTCACTGTGCGAGCTCGCCTAAGCTAGGTTGGCTTCTTCGCATTCGTGCAGCTTTAGTCTTGACATGCCATAACTTGGGCTGCTGGAGCCAGCTGGATCAAGTCGTGCACTTCCAAACACCAGGTGCTTCAAGGTGGTCTCATGCTTTACAGAGGTTGTCTCTGCACGGTAACATCAAGCTGCAACAGTACTCAGCGCGATGGCTTTCAGCTAGCGACTGGAGGAAGGCCAGTGAAAAGTCTACAAAACGTTTGGCCCTGGCGGTGTGTGGTTGTGGTGTTTAAGGTTTGAGTGTCGTTTGGGAGTTGTTGCTAGCTTTCCGGATTTCAGTAGTATTCACGTGAGAAAGATGCGAGGAAGGTTAGATTCCGTGTAGTGTGAGGGGTTTGCTAGCTTTCCAGGTCTTAGTAGCTTGTATGAGAGAGTTTGCTGTTTTCAAGCACTCTGGGTTTGGGGGAGAGGGCAAACAAAAACAATAAAGAAACAACACACAAAACCACATGTCCTTCATCTCTTTCTGGTTTCATTCTTGCCCCCCCGCCCTCCCCCCACCCTGGCCTGGACCTTTCAGCTTAGCCCGGCCTGCGGGCTGGGCCCCCGAGCCCCCCGTCGTCTTGCTTTGAAGCTTTGGGGCTCAAGGGACAAAAACCCTAGCAGCTTCATAGGTCTCGTGTGTTTTTGGGAACCTATCACCCCCTTTCGGGGGGGTATTCGTGCCAAACACTGCTCGTGGGGGTTTGCACTTCACACCCGTCATCTTTACACATCACATCAGTAACGGTTTCGGCCTTCGAGCTCAATACACCTCATTCGAGTTTGGGGTTTCTTGCGCCAAGTCTTCCCTTCAGGCTGCGGTTTGCTAACCGTCATATCCTTTTTGGGGCTTGTGTTTGCCACGCACCGTCTCACTCGCAAGACTTTGGGTTTTCTTCGATGCAGGTTGTCCACCCATCATTTTCTACTAAAGTTTCGGGAACGACCTCTGTGAAGGCCTAGCCCAGCAGTTTGTTTCCCAAAGTTTGGGGTGTTGGTTTTCCCAGCCACCATCTCTTCTCAGCGTGTGGGGTGTTGTGTTTAGGGGCTTGGGGTATGGCACCTTGTAGAGGTCTTGATTTGCGGTTCCAACCGGGGGTAGAGCTTGGAGGATGAAGGTTTACCTTTTTGGACTTGCCACCATTCCCGGGTAGGGAGTCAATATCTTCCACAGGATTGAAAATCGGCACCTGTAAGACGTTTGGAGGGTTCAGTGCTCACCCATCCCGTTTTATTTTCGTGGCGATGGGGACCCAATCACCCAGGATGCTTGGGAACCAGTAACCTTTTTTCGGGTTCAGGGGTTTGGGGGTTTGGGGGGTTTGGGGATTTGGGGGGTCCGGAAACCTCCTTCCAAGTTTGGTTCCATCATCTCCCTTCAGAGGTCTTGGGTTAAGGCCCGACATGTCCTAGTAAGGTCTGGACTTGTTATTACCTCTCAGATCAAAGCTTGGGGTGCTGGGGAAGCAGTTGTCCCTCTTGGGCTATTTCTCTGCAAGTGCTTGCTGGCCTTGATACCATGTTAGGGTTGGGGATCCCAGTTATGGTTCAGGGTTTTCCACTGGGTTTAGGATGCAAGCTCTCCTAAAAGGCTTGCGTTGTGTTTGGAAGGGGGAGGTTTTGGGGTTTAGGTCCAACCACCGGTCATTCTCTGGTAGGGTTGGGCGAGCAGTTGTTTTCTTTTGGAAGCCTTTTTCCGGTGGACCAGCAGGGTTTAAAGTGTAGGGCTCCCAGCCATCATGTCTTCGAAGGTGTTTTTAGTGGTGCTTGGGGTTGTCCCGACCCCCGTCACCCAATGTAGGGCTTACCGTCTGTGCCTTTTCTCAAGAATGTCGAGTTTTGGGTGTGCCACCCATCATCTCTTTTTAGAATCTGCGGTGCGCTCGGCAACCAGTTACACCTTTTCGGGTCCAGGGGCTGCCACCCATCATCTGCATAGGGGGTTTGGGTTTCCCACCCAGCGTGGCCCGGCCTATGGCTTGGGGTGTTCGAGCCAGTCATCGAGCCAGTCAACTTTCTGGGGTCCGATCTTCTTAAATAACAAACGTGTGGCAAGCCCTAGACCTGTGACTCATTCCGGAATCCTGAAGGTGGTGATTGGCTCCCAACTTTTGTAGGATATGTTGGACCTTAAACCCCAAATTGCTGAACAATATCATGAGTGCCGGGCGCCAAACCCGTCACAAAAAGGGCTTTAAACACATGGGTTCCTCTAATCGGTGATGATGATTTCCAAGGCCGAAAAGCCTGACATGAGTGGGTGATACGGAGAAGCCGCAACCCCACAATTTGTGATTTGTCGCAAACACGTAATAAAGTAATAAAGGCTTTTTGGATGCCAATTCCAGAGCTTTGACAGCAGGTGGGTAGCAAACCCTGGACTCCAGGAAATGACTGGGCCCCAAAAATCCACGACACTAGCAGGATATTGTTAAGAGGTGACAGACCTTCAAAATTGGATGGTTGATTTCCAGATACAACCAAGCACTACCGAGAACAGGAAGGAGTATGTGGTTCAGGATACTTGTTTCTAAAGGCCACATCACCAATGCGAGGGAGTGGTTCGGCAAACGTAAATCCTCATACGAGGTGGGCGGCACGCTTGAAACCCCAAACATCAAAACAAGCTGACCTGAAAGTTATCACTCTATCAATGATGCAATAATGGAAAATGCGTTGCGGTGTGTGTGTGTATATATATATATATATTATATGTATATATATATATATACATATATGTATATAGAGGCACTGTATATTCCCAAGTGAGTGTAAACAGAACACTTAAAAGCTCGAGAACACGTGCTAAAACTCTCGCGTAGCACTCTCCAGGTCTAATGCTGTAGTTCGAACCCATGCACACCTTGCAGTGTATCGTTAAGAGCTATCCATGGCAAAGCTCGCATGTATGGCCTCCCACAACCCTCTCACAGGTCCGAGGCATCTTCTCTAAAGCTTCGATTCTCGCTTCTCAGATTCTCAGGGGTGCCGACAGGCGGCTCAAATGGGGATTCAACTCCTTTTCTTCGGGACTATGCAGATTCTCTTTCAGCAGCTCGGTCTCGGAATGCACAGGGCTCTGCCCCGGGGGAAAATGCTCAAACAACTACAAGTACATCCATGTAATCCCAAACTCCGGTGGCTCAGTAACTGGCTCGTAGTAATTGAGCTCGAATCAGGTACCCCGCAGCCATCTCAATCCGGATTAGACCTATACCTGAAGATCCCGCGTAGCTGCTGCCAGCCGACAACATGAGCGCGTGGTATTCGAAGCTGCGCGCATGCGACTGTGGAAGAAGGATCTCCAGCACTTCAGCCAGTTTAGTTTTGTGCCCTGGGTCTTGAAGTTAAGTGCTCGCACTCAGGACACAGGCAGAGAAGCTGCCAGTGCATGTTTAAGGATGGAGAAGGAAGCATCTGGGAAATGCTCCCTGCCAGTACAGCACCGCTTCTGTACATGTCATTTGTTCTTCACGCCTCTGCGCAAGCCGCAATGATTCTACGACTTTCAACCTGCTCCAATCAATCTAGGCGGTCTGGACTCTGGCTACACTAAAGTCGGCGAGTGCAGGCGTGGGAGGGCCAGACTCACAGGCGGCTTCTCAGGCAAGTGTTCCTGCCGAAAAATCATTTACGCGCAAAGTGGCTGAGGCCTCCGAACTGCCACGAAAGCAACGACCAGCGCACCGCGGCACCGGGTGCGCGATCATGGCCCCGGGCGCAGAGCGATGCATCGCAACTGGCCCAAGCATCCCCGCCTATAGGGGCTATGGGATTTGGGAGAAACCACACCGTCCGGCACCAAACCGTCCGGCCCGCCTCGATAGTGGTAGGCACCGGTGTAGCATTTACTGCAAGTCTCGTAGGAGGCCTTGAAATCTGTCGCGTCCGCTTGTCAACACACGACACAGAGGACACCTTAGACAACGGCCACGTCCTCGCGGATGTCCGTGCAGTGATGGGTCCCTGCACCACCCTGCCTTGGCACAACCCTTCTCGGAGTCAAAAGAAATGGAGACGCTACGAGTCCCAGTTGCAGTGCACGGCCATCAAGGTAGTGCATGGGTTCTCCGCACGAGTTGCACGGAACCGTCACGGCAATCTCCTGGGCTTGGCCCTGTCAGTTTCGCAAAGGCTCTCAGACCCTCCCGAGCACACGCACACAAAGCTGCCTCGCGCGTCCGCACACATGCAAGCGCCTGGGAAGACGCGGTGGGGCTTGGCAGCTCTAAACACGTCTCAGCCCCCACACAAGCCCCAGGGCCTTGTCCGAATTCCGTCGCATTACCGAGCGGCTCATGGCCCAGATCTGCCAGGGAAAGGTCCAGTCTTTTCGCACTTTCCACCCGTTGCGCAACGTGACCCACAGAACCTCGCCCCGTGAATTGGTGCCACCGAAGCCGAAGGAATTCAGGCCACCTTTTCGGAAGAGCATCCTAGACTTGCTCACTTCTACCCTCGAGCCTCGACGAGTCTTTGAGATAGGGCACCAAAGAGAACGGAAAGGCTTGTAGGGCCATGCAATGCTGCTCATGCGGCCGGGCTCCCAGCTGATGATGCCACGCTCATCGGCACTCAAGTTACAGCACTCCACAGGGAAAAGGCCGGGAAAGCCTGCATCGTCGATATGTGCCTGGGGCTTCCAATCAAAACAGCAAGCAGAGGCTAATCCCAGATCTCACACTCAATACCCCCTCTAACGCATTGACCTCCATGTCTCAACCCGCCCAATAAACAACCCCCAAAACAAAGCAACACACCAAAACCAACATAAAGACGCCAAACACAACCTTAAACCAACAACACCTAAACAAATCCTACCTTCAACCATTCTCTAATTAATGAGGTCTGGGGTCAGCGCCCCCCCTAGAAAACTAGCCAAAAGATCATTACCCTCTCCTTTGTATGCCGTGGCATACAATAATACTTGCTATGAGGAACGAGTAGTCTATTTTCGCTTCTACGTTTGGACTTGGTCTGCTCATAATGTCTAGTGCCCTCGCATCACCGATTTCGACAAAAAAAATCCGTGACATGCATACATCATCGTCGTGCACTTGTTTTCAAGGTATGGCACACCGTTAAGGCGTCCCTAACTTCGCTTTGGTTCAACAAATTCAGGTCATGAACGAATTTTAGCTATTCCCTGTTTGCTTTTATATCCATAACCTTCAGATTATTTTACAAGCTTGAATTCTTGAAATTCATTATGCCCTCATTGCGTATCCTAGTCTCGTTTTGGAAACTTACACTCTCTTTGTTGTGGAGTTTATGAACATAAATCAACATCTGTCTTATTCCAAATGATTGTGGAACAATGTGTTTAAGTTTAACTAAACCAACAGCTTTCGTACAATCTAGCTTTGGGATATCTTTCTTGCATCGCATATCGGAGCTTGGAATTAGCAAACCTGTATATTCAACATCACCATCAACAACTGCGCTGGCAGTATCTGCTAAAAACTGCTTCTATTGCAATAATGGTGTGTTCATCGGTGTCTGGATTTGAAAAACATGTTTGTTCTACTCCAACAACTGCTGCATTGTGAAAACATGAGGTGTCCGTGAAAATTGACATTGCCACTTGCTATGCTTAATTCTGGTGAATACCGTTGGCAAGAATCGGTAAACTTTTCATATCCGTGAAAATTGACATTGCCACTTGCTATGCTTAATTCTGGTGAATACCGTTGGCAAGAATCGGTAAACTTTTCATATCGTTGTTAATGCTAACAGCACACTAGAAAAATGTTCCGTTCAATATATGTATTTGTGTCACTGTCGCCAGTGGTTCCGTTAGCTAACCTGATGGCGCCGTCACTTCATGTATTGATAAATGCGTATCTTTCAATACTCGCTCACACCACCACCTGGTCCTGCTACAAGTGCATCGACCTCACCCTCACTGTAATAGTTTAAAGTGGACTAACTTCTGCCAAGCCCGAGTGATATTGTAATGTTTAGCAGCCAAAACCCAAGCCAGGGGCAGGACCCGTATCATGTTTCCATGGTCATTTCAGCCTTGAATTTATCATCTCAGCATTTAGTGAACCGTGTATTAACATAGCTGTCACACAAGATAGCCGTCTTTCTGTTCGTCTGCTAGGTGTGCTCCTCGTTGCGTTCGGTAGAATGTAATATGATTACACAAACGTTTAATAAGGTTGCTGGTTTTCAACATTGATGTTGGTTTCTGTTCCTGACGCGCCTTGAATGAACCACCCTGTAGTCAAATCGTAATACCGTTATTTACCACACTATCCGATGTTATTACTTCTGCTCTAAAAACTGCGTTTTTGCATTGCCATGACGTTGATGTATCGGCTCCAATAGTAGTAGCACTTGGAGCATGTGCGCCTTTAACAACTGCTGCTTCAGCATCTGAAACAATCGTTGATCGTCACTTCAGTCTCTAATGGTGCATAATGGACTGGAAGATAGTAATTACTTCGAAGAACCACAGTTAAAGGCATGACCTAACCTTACATGTTCCCCGCCACCGCGAATACCACACAATGAATGACGAATATGACGATTTGATATTTCCCCCCTTTCTTGTGGTCGGTATAGTCCTCCTGTTGGTCATTCACCTTCGGTACGCACAGAACCATTATTCGCATTATCAACTCTTACAAGCCGGTCTAAACAAGTAGCATATTTATTATGCAAGCCCGTTGTGGCCAGTACGTGAAACGAAGCAGAACCATTTCATGCAAGATGCCATCAATTCGGCTAATGAGAACATCGGTCATTCAGTACTTCGTGATTGGGCATGCTCCCAGCCAGGCCAAGAGCCACGGAGAACCGCGAACCACGCAGGACTCAACCGCCTTTGAACCTAACCGCTCCGAAACGCTCCCTGTACGCACAGAAACGAACCGAATGGAACCGTGTACTTGCTGAACCGCTTAAACGGCAAAAAGAACTATTCGAGGAAACTCACTTACAATTATAATGAAGTAGATATTAAGATCCATAAAGAATGTACAACAATCGTACCAGTGGATATAGATTTGTGAAAATGCGCCAATCAAGAAGACAAAATAAAAGCATTTACACATGCTAGTGGGTGCATAGATCACATCCCAAGATTTCCGCAGCTTGACATACATATTTGAGCCCATTGGTGACGGGTGCAGCGTCAATCAGTTTAACCACTTGACTTTACAGATACTGTGGTAAGTAGAAGTAGACGACCAAGACTTCAACAAGCAAACAAGTACGAAATTGTGGAACATCAGCGTGGGAATGTTGGAGAAATCCTATAGAACAAGTCAGCGAAGTAGCACCTTTACTTTATTGAGGGAGGCATGTGCCACTCAGGGCAGCCACGGTGGTAAGATCTGCATAATAAGCGAGCGTCAGACAGAACTTAACGAAGTGGATGATCGGATGAAGACGAGTTGAAACACAGCAGACGCAAGGAACGAAGTATTGTGTGAAGTCTGTCGGAAAAGAAGATCCTAATGAATGGGTTTATCTACATCAAAAAGTTGCCGTTACGATAGCATAACTACAAAGTATGAAGCATACAACACATTGAATGATATTCAGATATTCAAACAATCTGCGAGAATATTGAGGAGCCCAGTGATCATGTGTGGAAAGTTCCCGGGAACAGGGAAGAGTTATGTAGATGAGTATTTCTAGCAAATGAGCAAGATGTACAGTATTACTTTCTTGCACGGGATGTGGAATCGACAACCTAATATTGACACATTTTTCAGCATTGCTGTTCATGAAGACGTGGGAGAACAGTTGCCAGCATTTGATTACTCATCTTTTACTGTTGTGTGTTTGATGAGAACTATACGTTTAAACTAGATGTTCTGGATTAACTCAAACAGTTTATTGAGGACAGTCCTGATCGTTGTCGTTATTGGAACGGGCGATGTTAAACAATTACACGGGGTAGAAGTTATGACCAGCTGCCAGCACCCAGCAAATTACATAGACCACCGAATAGATACCGTGCTTAAAAATGGCATCTTCGTACAAATTTGCAAGAGAATAGGTGCGAAGGACAGTGATGAAGGAGAAAGAAACAGGGAAATCCTCAATAATATGTACAGCGACTTTTGGCAGGACAAGTTGCCTACTCAAGACATTATACCGAAATACTTTGAGGCAACTAAATAACGACATAGTGGATCGGCATCGGAGCACAATATCGCACGTAGCAGCATGAGATGCCGAATTGTAGCAAATGAAACCAGAGGAAGGATAAACAAGAAGATCAAGTACGAAGTAGAAGAGATCTAATTTCTAGGCAGTGGATTAGACAACCGAGGGTGAATAAGAACATAAGAACATGAGAACATAAGACCATAATTGTAGAGACAGGGCATGACAAGTTAGGAGCGCAAATCACATTACAGAACATAGCAAATGATAAAGATAAGTTTGTGCAGTCTGAAGCGGTTGTTGATAGCAACTTCATACACTCAAACTGAGCCATCCGCCATTCGAGTCAAGGGGCGAGCGCCAAGAAAGGCATTAGCATTTACGAAATCGGAATTGCCAGTAGCAAGTAGAGAATGGATATGGTGCGGAGTGACCCGATGTGTTGATTCTGGGAAAATCAAGTTTTTGAACAACTGTTCAATGGACAAGGTAATGGACAAATATATGGTCATGCGATATTTTAGGAACAAGGCTGAGAACTACAAAATATTTTGGACCGCCGTGCTCAAAGAGTAATTAATGAATTTGAATGAGGAAGAATACAAAACTGCTGAATGGTGCTCAAACCAGCACTGTACCAGACGCCAAATTGAAACCCTCCATTTAGGATTGAAGTTAAGCAAAGGAAATTATGCAATGATAAAAAGGCACAATGGTCATGTAGCTTTCGCCCACACGAGGTGGAAAACTGTTTCGCATATTGCTGAAATATTTCAACACATCAACAAAGGTTTAAGGAAATGGTGGGTTTAGGTAAATGGAAGTATGAATAGGCACGAACATGCAAAATCTAGATGATTGCCGATAGTTCTATGACTATACTGGAAGCACAACTGAAAGTTAAAACACAGAAATGCAAGACGCCGAAGCAAATATCAGGAGTATTTACAAGGTGATGCCGACAACACACGGTCGTATTCGTTGTTTCATCAGTTTGGTGTTGAAAACTGTAAAAATGCTGTTGATAAAGACTCCATAGGGTCTGATGGAAAAACCGACCATAGACATTCCCGAAGCTTGTGGGTTGGGTTTGCGAGGGTCGCTAACCCCAGACCTCCTTATGTAAATCACTGGGGAATATTTGAGGGTAGGACGTGTGTTTGGTGCTTTGTGCTTTGGCTTACGCTTTGGATCTTTCTGAGATTACTGTTTGGATTGTTGGGTGTGCTTTGTGTATTGAAGCCTGTTGTGCGGTGATTCCGAGAGCCAAGGCCCAGCAGATAGATCCGGCATCCGAATGAGGGGGCACTGAAGCATGCCAGAAGCCGGTAGCAATCATAGGCTGTGTCTCTGGGTTTTAGAAATTTTCCTCAGTATTCACATATCTACAGCCAGATCTGGCCGCATCTGTATCTCCAACATCCATTCGTCGTGATTTTGATAAGCAGCAGAGGAAGCGCCATGACGGTGACCAGCACAATATCAGCAACAATCGCAAATTAGACGAGCTGCATTGAGAAATTGAAGATGACACTGAGCAGGCGCTGTCCAATGACGGATAGTGTTGACCTTGGGTGCAGTGCAGTCAAACTTGGGCACAACAGAAGCGGAAAGCCTTTCAAAGTCCGTGGCGATCTTCATGATCCCACAGTTCCCTGCCGAGGCCTGGTCTGGGTCTTTATCACACTCTGAGATGGGCTCTGCGCTGCCTGCGCTGCTCCAGGCCTCGGAGTGTCCCTGGTGGGATTTCCCCGTGGTGACGATGACTGGCGCGTCGCGGTTCCTCCAAAAGACTGCCCGGACGGAGCCCACCTCAATCCTCAGATCGCTCTCGCAGAGGTTCGCAGCTCAAGAGACGAGTTGTTGTTGAGCCATGCGTCGGATCTCCCAAGGCCGTGCCGGTGCCATGGTTCTCTGTGCAGACCACCTCTTGAGGGAGCAAACCTGGCAAAAGCGCATGGCCGCATGGAAACATCGGTGGGTCACAGGCCCTCGCTTCGCCTCCCAGGCGCAAGGAGGAGCGCACGCAGAGCTGCTGTGAGGGGCCGTTCGGTGCCGTCAGGCTCGCACTGCGCCCATCCTGAGGCTCGAAACACAGCCGAGGCTTATGGCTCGTTATGGCTTGCCGAGGCCCTAGCCTGGTTCACAAAACCTCACAAGAGCTTCCAGCTTCAAGTCTTTCTCTTTCAGTCTCTCTCCAAATCTAAGCTGGACCTGTGACGAAGAGGCCCAGCCGTTCTTCCACGTCCTTGGCCTCATCCGGAACCTGCAAGGCCCGCTGTCCCCGTGACCCCATGGCCGTCGCCCTTGTGCGGTCCTCCGGCCTTCCAGACCATGGATGTGATGGCCTCGCCGCGCGCGTAGCCGTTGGCCGAGTTGTCGAAGGACCTGAGGAGCGAAGGGGAGAGGGGGAGGGAGGCGCTTCCTCGCGGCTCCGCTCCGACCCGCTGAGAGCCCGGCTTGCAGCGGCCAGTCCTTCCCAACATACCCGCGCCGCTCAAGCCGATGAAGGTGGTGTGCCTTAGAAACGTTCGAGTTGAGACAAGGCCTAAGGCCTTGCTCCGGCAGGGTTCCCGGCGCCAAGCAGGTCATGTGGGAGGCAGTGATGGCCTCCTTGACGGAAGGGTCCTCAGTCGAGTGCACGGCAGCTAAACGCCGAGCTTAAGCCTATCTCTGCTGGGGCTTGGACGGGCCTCTTGCGTAAATAATTGAAGAGCAGATTCGAGCTCACCAGCGAGGACGAGCAGGCCGTGTCGATCTCAGCTCTGTTTCTGGCATATGCACAACCGCTTCGGCTTTGTCGAGCTCGCTGCGCACATCGTTGGGCCTCTCAAATCGAGATGGTATGCGATTAGTCCTTGCGCGAGTTGTGTCAAAGGGTGATCGGGTCTTTGCTGCAACGGCTCCTGCTGATGGCAGGTTGAACTGTCGCCCGTTGGCCCAGCTGTCAGGATCCTCGAAGTACCTCACGCGCTAGCGCCAGAACCTCTGTGCCTGGTGTACGAGCACCAGCGGCAAAAAGCCTGAAGAAGGGATCAAACTCGTGGCCGATGTCGGCGACATGGAGTGGCAAATTCTGACCTACCGACGGAAGCGGGGGCAAAGGCCTTCTCGCCTCCGTGAGCCTCTTCGAGACTCCTGGTGACTCCTAATCCTAATGCCCCGGCCTCTGATGGATTGCTTTGTGTAGCCCCGGTGTTGCAGTGACTCGAAGCACTTCTCTAGACCTTCAGTGGACAGCAGCTCATTTGGCGAAGAGCAAAATCCTCGCGAGGGGCGCGCAAAGGCGGATGCAGGGAGGGTAGGAAGAGGCATGCTTCTCTGGAATGTCGAAGAAGTCATTGTCAAAGCCTCGAGCTCGGGATTTCCGGCCCTGTGGAAACACTGGCTGGACAGCCGACGGCCCAGCCTAAGATGTCCTTGGTTTCAGCCATTCAAGAAACTATCAGAAGCGTCTACAAACAATATCGGCAATCCCGCCGGCGAGCAGTCCGGAAAATTCCGCAACATGTGACAGAAGCAGGTGCTATCTTCAGCATGTCTCTTGGTGCGCAAAAGTTGGCTCTGCGTCGGTTGGTGGCAAAAGCATCTCTAACAACCATCTAGTTGTTGGACCACACTCGAGCATGCGAGGATGCGGTGTGAGCGCTGTCGGTCGGCTGGACGGACTCTGCTTGCAGGCAAGAATCGTTGTCCGCGAGGAGCCCAGCGTGCTTTGTGTAGGACTTAGGCACCGGGCTCCTTGCAGGCTGTTGGAGGTCCTGGTTTATCTAGAGCTCGTCCTGGCTGCAGCCGGGGCGCGCTTCCGGATTGTCTGTGTAGTACAGGCTGACATCCCACCGCAGAAGGGGAATTTCAATAAATGTGTCCGTTTGTGCACCTTGAATGAATGACTTGTAAAGATGGAGGAACAGATAATTAAGTGGATTGTGGGTCAAACAACTTTCTAAATGTTCACCACGGGTCTGTACATTATGTAGTTCTGGTCGAGGCTGTCCACACTGGCAGGCAGCTTGCAAGCAGCACTCATGATGTTCACCTGGTCTGCGATGGGCATGGGTTGTCCTCGACATTCATCTCAGGGGAATCTCTTGCACTGCCCTTCAAGAGGACACACAGAATCTGCGCCTTGGACCCTCGGCACTCCGTAGAGATCTTGGAGACCTTCGTAGTCGCCTCGGTGTTTCTTTCGACTCTGGCTGGAGTAAACCAGGGCATGATGCTGCCACACGGCCATCAAGACCCTCGAGAGCGACCTGCGATGCGGGGAGGGCAGGAGGCACAAGCACTTACAGGACAAAATGATAATGATTCTGATAATGCATGTGGGCGACGAGGGCCATGCCAGCTCCCCGAGCCCCCCTTGCCTGGTCCTGTGTAGACACCACCCAGCCCTGCAATGCGACGTCGTGGCCGGATTGGACCTGTACGCAGCTGTCACGCAACAAAAGCCGAGAGTAAGCTTCGGCAGGCTGGCATAGGCGTAGGATAGCTCGTCGCTGCGAAAGAGCACGAGGGTACCTGCCGACCTGGGCTGCGCTGACCAGAAGAGGGAGAGACAGAGTTGCGTGGATCTCAGCAGCCGGCACTGGCACCTTGAGTGCTGTCTTGGCACCCTGAGGATACAACTCCAAGCAGCCCTTTTGTGCCTGCAGTCTGCAGTGCGAGCAGAGTCGAAGCATCTTCTCGGGGTAGGAGTATCTGCAATGATCTGCAATGCCTCGAGTACGTAGAGGACGCAGAGCCGGCGGGTCCGAAGGAAGCTCACGTACTGCTCCACCAGGCCCCGCTCCACCTCCCAAGCACGGCTGTTGGCTTCCTGGCAGCGACCTGCAGCGTGCCTCCTCGTCCGAGAGAGGCCCAGGGCTCAGTGAACTCCGTTCACCACGGGCCAGGGGCTCTCGCAGAAGCAGCTGCTGCAACTGCGGCAGAGCCTCGAAACCTCCGGTCGAACCCACGAAAAACAAAGGAAGGACCACTCAAAGACGAGGCCCACTGTGCCCGGCCTAGCTCCCGTCCCATCCGAAGCGCCACGGCATCCGCCAAGCTTGACATGGTGTCAATGCAGCCTGTGCCAAATATTTCGCGAAGAGCTGCGGACGAAGGCGGACTCCAGACTCGGACTCTGCGTCTTCGCTTCGCTGGACTCTCCGCTTTTTCGGCCCTCTGCGCCTTTCAGAGGCTCCTCGCTCTCGGCCGCGGCCAGGAAAGCGACTTTGCTTCGAGATCGGCGTCCGAGAAATCCCTCCTCAAGCGGCAACGCGGCGGCCCGGCGGCCCCGGCACGCACGGCATGCCCCTAGGCCCTATGCCCTGTGTGGCACATGTGGCCTCCAGCTCCATATGGGGCAAGGCGAAGCTCGCTTTGCGCCTGCAAGACTCACCCATTGCGGCTGACCGAGCTGGACTCTTAAGGAACTTCCGCCTGGCCATGTCGACAACCATGCTGCGCTGCTCCAAAACGGGAGCGCGCACTTTGCAGTAGCCGCGCCTCATTGCATGCGACCGCAAGGAAGCATCCTGATCCTGGCCTCAACCTCCCCCCAAGAAATCAGCCCAGGCTCTGCAAAAGGATCGAGACGACTTCATCTGCGAAATCCTTCACGGCCACATTTTCTAACATCGCCAGGCTTTCCAGCTGCCGTTGGTTTCCCGAGGCCCTGGCGGTGGAAATGTCCCCGGGCCAGAGAACCTCTGCGAGCTCCGCAGGCTTGGACATGGCGCCAAGGCACTGGCACAAGGACCAGCGAGTCGGGGCAGGGACTGACTGCAGAGCCTTGAGTATTTAGGCGTGGGTGGGTGTGCGTGGCTGTGTGTGGGTGTGGATGTGGGTCTGGGTGTGTATGGTGTCGGTCTGGCGACATGTGTGGGTCAAGGAGGGTTTTGATGTTGAATCATACTTATTTGTGCTGAGTGTCACAACATGTTGGGCTGCTCTTAAAATCCGGTCTACGTTTGCGGGCAAGCTGCGGCGGTCAACGATCAAGTGCCGTGTTGACCAAGAATTGCAGGCAACCGTGGATGCACAGACTTGACTTCATTTGGTGAGACAGCTTTTTAAAACCACCCTCAGCGCCTACGGTTGGCAAGTGGCAGGCCGCGCGCACTTTTGGGGACCCTTTTGCACCCTGCCTCTCTAAGAGGTCGTAGAAGACGGTGGGATTTTGGGGACGCCCTTGGGTCCTGTAGAAGGCTTGGTTGGAACCCGGGGACCCCGAACCTTCCTGCAGGCCCGCCCAATTTGGCAAGCACGCGCCAACCTTACCCAACTTAAGCAAACCTAACCTGGTCAAGCCTGACCTTATCGATCTAAGTTAACCTAACCGAAGATGTCGTTGTTTTCATCTCTTTGGTTGAAAAGCATCTCCGGAAGGATTATGACGACTCATCCGACACCTCGTTCAAGGAAAACCGGCGGTGTTGAATTCTTACAATGACTTAGAAGAAACCCTCAAGACAGAGGTGCAGACCTTCCTGCATCCTAGCTTTCTGGAGATTCTGGAGCAAGTTGCAGCGCATCCTAGCTTTTGGCGCAAGGCAGTGGAGCCACGAGTGCACCGAAATGATATTGTGAGTGCCCTTTATACGAATTCCAATTCGACCGCCCCACCCATCCTTTTCGAAGCGTTCCTCCTGAAGCCGTTGCTTCATGCCAGGCTATATGACACAGAAACGAACGATGAGTCCCGATGAGTCAGGGTTGGGGCACTGTTGTATGAATTCTGCCCTCCATTTGCAAGTCTCGCTCCGTCAGAGAGCTTTTGCACATGCATGGTGTTTTCTATTGCTTAAAGTCGCGTGTAGTCTGCGGGTCGTGTGTTTCTGAGGATATCTGAGAGTCGGCCCCGTGCTTCATATTGGATCCATAGCACGCAGCATGCAGCCGCCACACTGATTTTCTGCCGCTGAGCACGCTGCCCATGGTAGAAGTGAGACAGACCGCACGAGCATGCGCGAGCGTCGGTGCAGAGCAGAGAATATTTGACTCGGATCTCAGTCGAAGGACTCCCTCCGTGACCGTGCTGCCAGGGACCTGTCTGCGCATGTTGCGACTCGAAGGGGTGGGGACGCCGTGCGATGCGTCGAGGTACTGTGCCGTGCTGGACATGCAGTGGCCAGCCGGTGGAGAAACCTCCGAGACAGCAGGGGCGGAGCACTTCAGAGATGCAGAGGCCTGCAGATTAACCGCACCTTTCCGCAGGTGCTTCCTCAGAAACACAGAATGCAACAAGTTTTCGCGGAGGCAGTGAGGCGAATCTGAAGATGCGGCCCAGCCGGCTTTCGTAGTCCAGCTGGCGCTTAAACCTCGCTTAGAAGCACTGCACTGCAGCACTGAAGCTTCGGCTTCGGAGAGAGAGCGGCACAGTTTGTGCCAAGATGCCACTCGCAGTACTGTACCAGCTGCAGAGCTTGGAAGCGCTCTGCTTCCAACAGGAAGACTGCAGCGGGTCACAGGGGGGTCACAGAGTTCGGTCAGAGTGGGTTGCAGGCGTCGCTTTGGCCCTTTGCCTTCGACGTTCTCCAGATCCACCAGGGCACTCAGGTGTTTTTCGCAGGTCTGCTTCACCTTTCATCCGCGTAAAGAGAGACCCAAACCGCGCTGCGATGCTCTGCGTGCTCTGTATCGAGTTCCAAACGCAGTCCACGCAGAACTGGTCCGCGGCCCTCAGGAGGCCCATCAGGAAGCACACCTCAGAGTCAACGATCAACGCCGGGGCGAGGCCGTTTGAGTTCGCTGGGTTTGGCCCTTTGGCCCTTGCATCGGTTTGCTGAGCTTGGGAAACATGGAGCCTGCCGATGTACCTCACTCGTTCAGGGTATGTTCGGGTGCATCAAGCCTCAAACCATCTTAAAGCCCTGGTCGCCCTCGGAGAGGGCACAGGAACTCCAGCAGCGAGTGGAAAGTCTCGTAGGACATGTCCTCGATCAGGATCTCGGGCTCGAAGCTCTCGCGCATGCCGCAAGCGAACCTGCAGGACTCTTCATGTGACAGAAACATGCCTTCCGCAACACACTCTGAGGCAGAAGCGCTCGCCGGAAATAGTCGGAGAAGAGCGTCAGCAGTATGCCTCAGCACGGCCCTCTTTCGGAAACGATCAACATGAAACATGAATCTCTTGGTCTCCCTCACGTCATGCGCCATGCTCTGCTCAGACGTATGGGAATGCAGTGCCTGCAGCGCCTGGCGGTTGTACATGCTGGTCAATCACAACCGAGCATCCAGCGATGGGCGAAGATCCGCCGACCTTGCGTCATCTCAGACACTCTGAGTGACTTACGTAACGATGTGGCAATTCCAAGTAAGGCCGCGCCTTCCACTACAAAGCTCACGTCCGAGAACTCCTGCTTGTTCAGGTACTCGCTCATGACCTCACATGTCCGACAGAAAAACTGGCCTCAGTGATATGGAACTGACCGGGGTTGAGCGATACATTCGAGACCTTCCCTGTGGGCTCCTGGCTCTTCTGACTGAGTCCGCACAAACCGGTGGTGCCGCCACTTCGATCACGGGCGGCGCATCCGTGTCCAGGATGTACCATTTCCCCTTCCCGTAGTACCTGCCCATGAAAGAATGAAGCATGGATCAAATTGCGAAATCGCACGTCACAAAGGCCCTTCACCAAAGGGCGCACTGTGTCCCACAGGCCCCGCCGCTGATGAAAAGCCGGCGGTCCACGACCACTGCTACGTGCCCAGCCCGTCCTTACAGAAAGAGCTATATACGACGAGAGAACATATTCACAGGAGACAGGAGCCTAGCACCACCAGCTCAGCCCTGCGCGTGCCGGGCCGATGCCTCAAGAAAGAGTCAAGTCAGTCGAGTCTGAAGAGCCCCCTCAACCGAGATGCAGGCGCTCGACACTCTCGGAGGGCGACTGTACACAGAGGAACCAAGCCTGCCCCATGGCAGGCAAGCAGCCCAGCCCGTGCCACAGCCCAACGTCGCATCCAACGCCTGCTCCTCTGGGTCGTAGACGTGCACGTCCTTTAAGTTCACGGCTCGGCCGTGGCGCTTTGTGACAGTCCGGGGCTCCGGCGTTAAAGCAGCGCGTGGTGTGGCCCGAGCCACCGAACAAGTACAAGCCTGAGACATACATGGACGCACCGATGCCTTGCGTGCTCGTCCCTTGAATGATGCAGGCGCCCGGCAATCCCGGATAATGGAGAGCGTCATCCCAGCACGGGCCTCTTTGCCAGTTTTCCAGTCCCGCTGAGCAAGTTTCCATCGGCCACTGCGCTCCAGTGGCCTGTGGGGCATAACCCGTCGGCTTGAGCATGGTCCACACGCTGTCTCTGTTGTCCTGATCAAATGCTCTACTGGCAATGCTCTCATTTAGATTCTGACCGAGACCGAAACTGAGCATGCTGCTAGCACGTAGAGGTCGTTCAATCGCTTTGTGCCATCCCAGCCACCAAAGATGTAAAGCCTGCACTTTCACAGCACTTTCACTCTGCCGGTGTGGGAGATTGTTTGCCTGTAATCGTCCACTGCTGAGGCGTGATTCGCCCTCGGAGGCGGCTGCTCACCCGAGGTCTTCACAGAAAACCTGCCGAAGCTTCACATGACGCAGGGCCGCTGAGACCGCTTCAGCCCAACTCTGAGGCTCATTCCAGCTGTTGCTATCCAGATCCAAGCCATGCAGATCATTCAAATACCTCATAGAGGATGGGCCCGGGCCCGCGCGAACGCGAAGGGAGGCGCTGGAGGCGCTCTCCGGGCGCTCTCTGGGCGTCCGGACGCACGGCCGTCGCCACCCCGAAAGACCAGGAGCTTTCTCGCCACCAGGTCGGCCGTGTGCATGTTGCAGGGCCCAGGCCTCGGCGCCGGTGAAGCGACTCACCTCCCAAATCTCCCAAACCCTGCTCCCATCTGCTCCCCCTGCTCCGACTCCAGGCTTCCCCACGGCTCGCCGGTGAAGCGCGGAGGCACCCACTTCAAGGGATCCAAGTTCAGCAGATGCATGTCACCTGCACACGCATGCAAGCGAACCCGAATCCATGGTGTCGGTCTAGGCACAGCAGAGCCGTTCGGGTCTTCTTGCAGCTTGCGAGCTTGCACGCTTTTCACGTGCTTAAGTCTTCGCATCTGCCTGCAGCGAGTGGCCCGTTGCCCAACCAGCCGCCCAAGATCAGGATCTGTGCCCCTCCGGCTAGGAGGGTTGCCGAGTGCCCGTTCCTTGTGGACAAGAGCGAATTGAGCGCGGCTGGAGAAATCTCGCGCAGTCAGCGTCCTTCCACTTGGCTTCTGTCCACCCACCGACGGCTGCCTCCACCTCGGAAGGTGCTGACTGCATGGGTGGCTTCTGCCAGTAATGAAAAGGCCCAAGCTCCATCGACTGAAGGTCAAAGATGTAGAGCCTGGGTAGCTGTTGAAAAAACAAAGCGGCCCATGTCTGACTCTGCGCGGCTCAGGTCTTCTTCTGCTCTACTACAGACATCTACACACGAGGGGGCACACCTTGGCCACTTTGGCTTAAGCAGCCTCGCTCCCAAGCGAGGGCTCGGCTTTTCGCGAGGTTTTTTGTCGCTCTCGTCTCCTTCTCGCTCTTTCCACATGCTCTTCCTGAAGCCCAGGAGCTCGTTGTGATTCTTCTGGCCGTCGTAGCCTCCGAAGACATAGACCTGACTGAGTGGACAAGAAGAGACGAAACACAGAGCTGCCCCTTCTTCAACCGCCGCTGCCTCACTACCCACGGGTGTGGCCGTGTGGTTCCTCAC